CTTCATCTTCAGGGTACAAAAGTAAGCTCTGAGGCAAAATATGGTCACTGATATAGGAAAGGGATATACAGTGCCAGGTCTATGTAAGTGAACTGATGAAACATCAGTAAATATTCTAATACCTATACAGCATCACATGAAAGAAGACAGCAATATTCATACTCACTGCCATGAGAATTCTCACACAGCATATTGTACTTGAACAAATAATATGCCATCACAATTCTCAGTATTACCAGTTTTTACACCAATCTCATGTGGAATTCTGTACATTCAATATCACCATTTATGACAGCAGTTGCAGTTGTATGATTGGTCCTTAGCATAAACTGATGTCAGGTCATGAATCAACAGAAATATCCATTCGATCCTCTGAGAAGGTGACACTTGATGTGTGATGATGGTAGAATTCTGTAATGTCGGCGGTTATGTCTTATCGCCTGACAACACTCAACACAACTTTCTAACTTGGTTTATTTATTTGTAGTTTATTTAACGATGGTGTCAGTAACTTGTGTGGTGAGCGCAACAGATCCCCACGCCCATTAATCTTGGTTTTCTAGACCCTCTATTCACAAAAGTTGGTACTAACTTCGCCAATAAGTGGCAGTCGCTCAGTCACTATTGTTTCCTTGCGGATTACAGGCCATGGAATAAGTAACTTAAGACTGTTGTCGAATGACTGGATGAAAGTGAATGAATTGAAAAAGATGTGGAAGGAAATGGTTGTCCCATAATTTAAGTTACTGTCCTGGCCTGAAGTGAATGAGGAAAACTTCAGTCATGGGAGTTGGTGACCTGGCTGATATTCAAACTAGCACCTCCCAAACATAAATTAAAAGTATTACTACTAGAGCCAACTTGATCAGTCTGCTGACTTGGTCTCTCATCCTAAGAGTAAAGGTGAAGGTGGAAGGTGAAGTTATTACTGTAATTATCATGTCACTGAGCACTGTGTTGTGAAGGCATATGGGAGTGGAGGTACAGCTCCACCATTCTTGTCTTTGGCAGATGGTGGAGGTGAGTGGTCAGCTTCATGCCCTAGCTGCTTTACTTTCTGGAAAGCAACCTCTGGTACCCATCTGACAGGAAACTATGGTGAAGAGAAAGATTTCTTGCTTCTGTCAGGAATCGAACCCCAGCTGTCCAAGCCATAGAATGGTTGCTATACCGACTCAGCTAACCTGGCCATCATCTCATTCTAGGGGAAGAAGGTAAAATGAAGGCACTTGAAAACTGGGTGTCTAGGGGAGAGAAGGAAAATGACAGATGGCAGCAAAAAAATGCATAATGAGGAGTTTCATAATTTATACTATTAAATAAACATTATTAGGATGGTCATGTCAAGGAAAGTGAGATGGTTCCTTAGTAATTAACATTTAACTGTAGGTACGTGTCTTAGGTCTCTCTTCATAGGAGGCACAAAAACTATAAAAGCATATAATAACAAAATATGTAAAATAACAAGCATTACAAAGTAAATAAATGAAACATAATTTTAAATTACAGTGTCTAAAGTACATAAAAAAATGTTTAGTCTTGTTTCACAAAAGTAAAGTCAGATTTTCAGTCATGCACAGTTCTTTCATAATTAATAAAATATGTGCATATGAGGAAAAAGGTTTTGCCATTTCAGAAGCTCCAACACTACACTAATTAACTGTCTCACAACAATACCAGTAAAGGGCCATCCACTCAATTCAGTTATTTTTGAGCATTTATCACAGGATTATGAAATGTTGCATCATGGTATATCCTCAAAAGAGAGAAAGATGTGAAAGATAAAATTAAAGATGAAAGAAGAGTAAAAAGCTGTTACCAAAGTAAAGGACAGAAAGAAAAAATGAAAGAAGAGAATGGAATGAGAGATTAGACCAAAAAAATCACTGAATGATTGGGGAACTATCAGTTTATGTGTGACATTCAGAAAGAAATCTGAGACAGTACAACACAGGTGTTAACATAGTCAATGCAGTGGATGCTTTTCTGGAAAATTCAACATAATCCAAAAACATTTAGATCCAAGGACTTTTTCTACTGGCTCAGTAATGAATATTGAGGTTATGTCCCTGAGAATGGTAAAAACTTAGGGATCTAACCTTTCTTGGTTATTTAAAAGTTAATTAACACTGTACTTTGTAGAACACCATGGATTTGTATATGCTTTGGTGTTTGGTGGGATTATAAGATGATTTGTAGATTTTTCTTTTTGATACTTGGGTGAAAAATCCATCCTATATTCAGGTAAATACAGTAATATAACTGAGGTTTTCTGAAATTCTACAGCTTTTCCAATGAAAGACCAAAGTATTTTCTTACAGTCATATCCACATTGTTAAGCACTACTGCTGAAGCACTAACATGTAAACTTCCTTATTGTCTGATTTTAAAATTGGGTGGCTGCTAGCACTAAAAGTACCAAGTAGTGCCACCTATGGAATAATTTTAGAATATTTTGTAATCATCTGTGAGCCACAAAACTTTAGTCCTACAAGAACCACAAAACTCCACACTGCAGGGCTAGCCTAGAACAGATAGTACACAGAAGTTTTTTTTTACTGCTAGTGGGGTGGGACTAAGTCCCTTGTACTGTGGCCGCTTCTGGCCTATTGTACCAGCCTCAGATGATAGGTGAGGGTGATTGTGGAGCAATTGGTGGAATGAAGATTGGCAGGGGGGAAACCGAAGTACTCGGAGAAAACCTGCCCCAGCGCCACTTTGTCCACCACAAATCCCACGTGACCAGACCCAGGCTTGAACTTGGGCCACCGCAGTGGGAAGCCAGTGACTAACTGCTTGAGCTATGGCGCAGCCGTACATATAAGTTAAAGGGTTAATGTTACATACAGTCTACATTAAAGACCTATCAAATTTTTAATATTACCGTCTTCTGTGATGTGATGCCATGTAGTCTGTTAAATTGTTATATGTGTTTAAGAGGAAAATACCCCATCGATCTTCAGAGTATAACCTCAAGATGGACGAAGCACATTCCTCTGAAACACTGGTAATGATGCACCAGTCTACATGGCATCACATCTCAGAAGAAAGCAATCTTCACAGTCACTGCCATGAGAACATCTGCTGTAACATTACAATATGCAAAGATGTCTTCTTGAGTGGTAAACCATGCAGAAATTGGATTACTATCCGGAGTTTCAGAGAACATGTCCATGTCTCACGAGGGATGAGTGATATGTTGCACATTACATTTAAACACACAGAGCATGCTCACGGCTGTCCCAAAATGAACTTGGGCAGGACATCACGACCATCTCACTCAGCAGTCTGCACTGGGACAGCCAACAGAGTCCTCTGTGGGTATAACAAAACATACAGCTATGTCATCATTACATCAATCCCTGACGATGAAGACAGAGACAGTATCTGAAAAGTTAGGAGTCGACTCTATCTTCAAACAGTTGATTGCCTGTGAAGATTTCACTGCATATATTTGTTGTGAAAGCTTCAATCATACACAACCAAAAGATTTAGATTCCATACAACTTCATCCTTATCTTACATTCAACAGTACCCAGTTTTGTCACTCATCAACTTCATTCTTTAAACTCATAATCACAATCATACAACACAGTACCTCAGCACCACAATCTGAAATGCTTCATCTGTCAGAGTGAACCCTGTGGATACTCTGGAGTGTGGTATAAAATAAAAGAAAGGACTAGAGGTAGTACCAGAATATGCCATGCCCTCTTCCCTTTCCAATCTAATTTCACCAATTCCATGCTATGTACAAGATTTCTTGTTCAGAAATAAACCTTCTGGTCTAAATTACTTTGGTTTTGGTATGATCAGTGAATGGAACTACTTCTGCCACCTGTGGATAACGAAACCGATTGGTAGCTTCCAATAATGGAAACATGTTAAATGAAACATATCAAGAGACAGAACAATAAAATCTAAACTCTGTGGCTTTCAGTCCTCAAGCGAACTATATCGTCCAAGCGACTGCCACATGTTGGCGAAGTTAGTGCCAACTTCTGCAGATAGAGAGCGTTGCGTGGTCAGTGCAACGGATCCCCATGGCCGTTAATCTCAGTTTTCTAGACCCAAACTGCTACAAGTAGCTCCTCAATTATCCTCACAAAGTTAAGTGGACCCTGTTCCAGACCCACTACTGACCAAGAGAAAAGGAATATTTTATTAAACGTTCGTCATGAAAAGGGTTTAGGAACGACATGGCTGATATCCAACAAACTGTCATAATATTCATCAGTACTGACCACCTATCCATCACTGTCCTTCAAGGTTGCACAGGGGAATTGAGAGACTGTTGATAAAATTAAGTAGTGTGCTCTATTTCCACTGATAAATAAAAATAATGCTCAAAGTGGCCTGTCCTCTAACCCTTCCCCTTCCTGCCTATTCCCAACCTTACCTCTACCACCTACAAATTAATCTGCACAAGGAAAAAGTAATTTCTGCCATCTATTGCCTCTATATGCAAACTACTGGAACAGAATATACTCTACTGTGGCAACGGGTGATACACTATACTAATATTATGTTGGGCACTGCATTAACTGGAGGACATTTGATGCACACAATGTTCTGAAAGCTGGATCTGTTTCCGTTATCACACGTAAAGGGTGAAACCCATGACCAAGAGTGTAAGATCCTTCATCCCTTACACCTGACATCAGAAATGGATTCAATTTCCAAAAAGTTGCATATATCAAACTTACTTTACGCAAAGGACACCTCCCAACAAAATAACAGCACATTAGAAAGGAAGTCAAAGTATACAAACGCAAAGCTTACAACAGTGAGTTCATGATCATAACACAACAGTAACTTTATATGTGGTGGCAGAAGACATCTGACAACGGAGCAATACGCGTAAATCACAATCTTGGAAACCTTCCCTCAAGGAGCAAAGAAAGGGTTAAAATTAAGGCAGTATGTTTTCAATGTTACACACAGTCGTACAATTCATCTATACATACATGTAAGAAAACTATCAAGATTTACAAGGGAAAATACCACATGTCTGCTCTCTTTTTCATTAAGCATCACCCCCTCACCCCCTGGCTTAAAAATAATAAAAAAACCTTCACTTAAAGGGCTTCAATTCCTGTACCAAAGTTTCCAAGGGAATAAAACATTTCCTTTAAATACAGGAGTTATATGAACAATTCTTTGTTAAAAATACTCATGATATCAGTATCCGAAATTCCATGGATACAAGGAAACTCCATTGTCGTGTCTTTGTTGTTAGCGTGGGAGGTTCAGAATGACACACAATTCACATGAAAAATTCTTCGGTAGATTCTGAAAGAGAGAGTCACGTTCGAGTAGCGGCAGGTTCATTTAATATTGAGATTTCTATCTGTATTTGAATTAAGGTAAATACCAAGTTTCTTGTAAGATTTAAGGTTATCATCATGGTGGTAACTATGAAGAATGCTTTCTTCTGGGATTTCGCGCTGTGTAGATCTCGTGTAAACCGACACTTCAGAGGAATGTATCGTCTCCATCTTCAGGGTCTGCAGCCACCTGCTCAAGCTGGTTCCTCGCTCGCAGATTTCTCTACCCTGAAGATGGAGGAGACATGTTCCTCCGAAACGTCGGTTTACACAAGATCTACATGGCGTCACATCCCAGAAGACAACATTCTTCATCAAGATTCTTATAAACATGAACAATAAATTATACTTAGAAAAAACTGCATAATGAGGAGATTCATAACTTGTACTCTTCTCCAAGTATAATTAGAATGATCAAGTCAAGGAGGATGAGGTGGGCAAGGCATATAGCACGAATGGAGGAGAAGAGGAATGCATACAGGATATTGGTGGGAAAGCCAGAAGGAAAGAGACCACTGGGAAGACCAAGGCATAGGTGGGTTGACAATATTAAAATGGATCTTAAAGAGATAGGATGGGATAGTCTGGAATGGATTGATCTGGCTCAGGATAGGGACCAGTGGAGAGCTCTTGTGAACACGGTAATGAACCTTTGGGTGCCATAAAATGCTGGGAAATTCTTGAGTAGCTGCAGATTTGGTGGCTCCTCAAGAAGGGCCCAGCTCCATAAGTAAGTAAGTAACTAAGTAAGTTATACTTAGAATTACTGGATTTCTGTAATTTACCCATCAACTAATATTCTGAACAGAATTCAACACTTCCTTTTACCTCATAACAATGCCAGTACACTAGATGATGCAGAATAAAGAGACTGGTTGTTAGTAATTAATGAAATTGAAGGAAAGTGCATGGAGGTGGTGGTTGCCAAAGTTAAGGTACTATACAGGCATATGTCTGGAGGGAAACTGTGGACAACCTCAGCCTGGACAGTTGGTGTCCCAGCCAAACTCCGAACGAACTACCTCCTGAATACAACTCAGAAGCTGTGTTGCTTCAGCCAACTTGCTGAAGTTGGATGTTTCTGTCAAGTGAAAAGATTGCAAGGCTAAAATAAATTACAAACTGCATGTCTGGCCTTTACAATCTCACATGATCTGAGTTCAAACCATTGTGAGATGGTTCGGTTTTTATCCATAATATTTTATGTCTTGTGAGCTGCTAAGTGGGTCCCTTGCCACCGCATGGTGCGTCCTCAGGATGCAGAGAGGGGAAAACAGCCTCCAGATATGGAGGGTAGCTACTAATATATCGAATAAGCAGTTGCAGAAAGCTGAAAGGGGTGGTACTGCAGCTTGGACGTTGGGCATGTGGCTAACAACTCCTCACCATAAAAATAATTTTGCTGCAGAATATTACAATTGGCAAGTAAAACTAGAATGATGAAGCCAAGAAGCATGGGCAGGGCATGTAGCACAAATGGGGGAGAAGAGGGATTCACATAGGAATTTTGTGGGAAAGCCAGAAGGAAAGAAGGCCCACATGTAGATCGGGGGATAATATTCAAATGGATCTTAGAGAGATAGGATGAGGTGGTGTGCAGTGGATTGATCTGTCTCAGAATAGGGACAATAATAATAATGATAACAAACTAATGTCCTGATTGTACAGCAGTAAGGATACAACTCTAAGGCCTCTCTCAGTTGGATCTGTGATGAGGAGACCCCGCGGGGCATATACTCTTTCATTCTGCTCCACGATGAACTTCGCTACCTTCCGCAGGCACTGTAAAAATCATGTATGATAAAACAGAACTCACTTCAGTCTCCATATAAATGTAACTAAGAAAAGACAGATTTGACACTTCATTAAAATCTTCTTTATTCACTACTGCTATCTATTTGCTTCCTGTTGCTCCCACTTGGAGCATAGGCATCTGTGAAACCCTAGTTTCACTTCAATTTCTTAATCTTAGACAGTTGGTAGGACTCCTTGGATGGGAGATCAGCCCATTGCAAGGCTGCTAGCTACACAGGGCAACACAAACATAGAATAAAAGCAGACAAACATCCTCGCCCTGAGTGCGATTCGAACTCATGATCCCAGCGTCTGAGAGGGGGTGAAGACATTTCATGCTTTAGACTGCGCGGCCAATGGGTTCGGCAATTAATCCATCTACTAAGAGTCATGGATTAACTGCTGAACTCAGTGGCAGCATAGTCTATGGCTACTGGCTACTACTACATGACCCATACAATAGGTATGAAGTGATGCTTAATTTTATAAAATTGTAACTTCTCAAAGTGACTGCATGCAATAATGATTTATCTGGCAATCAGCTGTACCCAAAATAGTCTAGCTGTCAGGATAAAAGATTAGCTTTAGTAAAGGTTCTGGGTTCCATACCAAAGAGTCATTAATGTTGAAAAAATGAATGTATGACAGTACGCCAACAATTAATCACTGGGGGACATGTTAATTTGTTGTCCCCATGCTTAATTAAATGGTACACCATGAAGATGCATGGGGGAGTGGAGGCATTAGACCCCTTTCCCCGAAATATCACATATATACTAAATAAACCTCAGGTGGACCACATCCAGCTCAAAGAGTACAGTCTTCTGGTTTGTAACACTGTGTAATTTGCACATAGATGTCTTTTACTGTGATTTTATTCTTATCTCCCACTGATGGAACCATTGTCGGTTGTTCACAGGTTGTTTTCTACAGACCAGGGTTTGTCCAGTGATTGAGACTAGCTCTCTCTAACGGGCCCAACTGAATAGGTTCTTCCTCCCCTACCCACCTGAAGACGGAGACAGATCCAGTCTCCAAAACGTCGTGGCCTTTTGTCTTTTACATACCAGACAATGGATGAAGTCCAAAACAAGCCAAAAGAAGTACATAGGTTGAAGTTTTGGAAGAACATATCAATTCCATTTTCAGGCTCAGATTTCTACCCTTCTACACTGAACACGGAGGACATGTCTTCCACTGAAACATCTGGCTCTTTCCAAACTCCATGGTGTTACAACCCAGAAGATGTAAACTTCACAGTCATTGCCATGACAACTACAAATCCAACATCATCTAACTCCACTGTGATGACAATGTTTCACATGAGATGGGATCATTAAGATGAATTGTAAGGAGAAAATAATTTGGAAGCAAATGGCTGCAGTTAGGGTCCATCTAGAGATATCATCAAACGAAATGAGAAACACATGAGGATGAGATAGTAAGCTGGTTAAGATATGAACTCAGCACCTTCTGTGGTAGCGTAGTTAGTTGAGGCACTATGCTAAAAACTGGAAGGTTGCGGATTAAAGTCCCGATGAGGTAGATTCTTTCCAATTGACCTAATCTTTCCAGCTGCACTATGGCCCTAGGGTCAGCTCAGCCTCTAACAGAAATGAGTACCAGGAACCTTTCTGGCATGTAAAGGGTGGCTGGGGCATAAGGCTGACAATCTTACCGCCATCTGTGAGCCGATGGTCTAGAAAATGTGGGAACCTCAACCTCTCACAACCTTCAGGCCTTCACGGCCTGTTACGGGTACAACTTTATCTTTTTACCTTCTGAATAAAAGTCTAAGACATCAGCAATAAAATAACCTGCTCGTTATATTAAGGACAACAGCAGACTCGTCCTTGTGTTTAAGCATCCTGTCGTCTAAATGCATCAGAGGTTAGAGCTCCACACCTTAATCTCAGGACTACAGCCTGGCCAAAAAAATAAGACCTCTCCTATTAGCGCTGAGTACTGTTCACTTCAAAGCTGTACTGGCCAAATGTTGGCCAGGTTGCCAGTTGTATGTTTTGTGGGCACTACACATATTGGTATGTTCTCCAATCACTTGATAATTGTGACTGTATTCTTTGACATCTGGAGTTTATACGTACTTACCTTCTCATAATGTGTTTCAGTACATATATAAATGAGGTATGCTGTGAGGCAAGCCATGCAGCCTTCGCAGTAAGTACTGCAGCCAGCTTTCTCTGCCTCCGCATACATAGCATTCAGCTGATTAACTGTATACTCAAATGCCTGCCGTTCTATCTGTAATTCAGAAACAGTGAATATGAGGGGTGGAAAATAATAAATCACCACACAGAATGAGTTAGGGCTAGTAAAACTGCACTTTGGTGATATATTAGAAGGGTCAGACAGGTTAGGTTGCTTTATGATATACCTTATAACAATAAAATTCAACTGAAAGTTATGTGGTTATAATACTATGAAGTAGTTCTCTATGTTCACCGACCATAATGGAATAAAATTAACAGATTTTGCAGAAAGTAAAAACTTGATCATCAGCTCTACATACTTCCCGCACAAGAATATACATAAAAGAACATGGACAGCACCGGATGGAGCAACCTTCAATCAAATAGATCATGTCCTCATAGAGAAGCGATTTGCGACGAATATCCTGGACGTAAGAACATTAAGAGGGGCCAACTGTGATAGTGATCATTACTTAGTACAGGTTAAATATAGATGTAAAATAAGTTGTCAAAGATCCAAGCAGTATGAGAAATTTAGGAAATTTAATATTGACAAGATTACGGAGAGTGATAAGACAGAAGCATTTCAAAATAAAATTAAAGAAATTAATGACAATAGAGCAAATAAAGAAGTAACGGTAGAAGGGATATGGGTAGATTTTAAAACCGCAATAATTACAGGAGCTGAGAGGACGCTGGGATATCAAGAGAAACAGGATAATAGAGAATGGTTCGATGAGGTATGTAGGGAGAGTATAAACCTCAAGAATGAGGTGTATAAAGAAGCAAGAAGGAAAGCAGACAAGATTTGCAGGAAAAAGAAACGGACCTTTCTAAATGAGCAATTACTGCAAATGGAAGAAGACTTCAAAAATAACAAAACAAAAAATGCCTTTGGTCGAATCAAATATATGAAAGAAGGTTTCAAACCAAAAACAGAATTTATCGGAGACAAAAAAGGGCTTCTAATAAATAATAAAACAGAGATTATGAATACATGGAAAGAATATTTTGAACAATTATTAAACCAAAATCAGAATATGGAAGATAATGAGGACAATGAAGAAGAAACTACAGATGATGGAGAAGGGGAAGAGGAAGAGATAATAGAGCCCCCAACAAAGGAAGAAGTGGAAGAAGCATTAAAGGAACAAAAACTAAATAAAGCACCAGGAGGAGATAACATACCAGCAGAATTATTGAAGGCAGGAGGACAAGAAGGAATAAGAGCACTCCACAGAATCATAAATAAAGTGTGGGAAGAAGAAAATATACCAGAAGATTGGGGAAAGAGCATTATATGTCCCATATCTAAAAAAGGGGATAAATTAACATGTAGTAACTATAGAGGTATATCATTACTACCAATAGCATATATAATTTTAACAAGGATACTAAAAAAGAGACTGGATCCATACATAGAAAAAATAATAGGAGAATATCAATCAGGATTTTGACCCAATAGGTCAACAATAGACAATTTATTCACCCTGAGACAAATAATGGAGAAATGCTGGGAATTTAATACAGATATTTACCTATGCTTCATAGATTTTAAACAAGCATATGATACAATAATAAGGAAGAAATTAAGGATGATTATGTCTACTTTTGGTATTCCAACAAAACTAAGCGGAATAATTAACTTAACCATGACAGAAACAATCAATCAAGTTAAAATCCAGAACCAGTTAACAGAATGCTTTAAGACAAATCAAGGATTAAAACAGGGAGATAGTTTGGCACCATCACTATTTAATTTGGTATTGGAATATAACGTGAGGAAATGTAATGTAGACACAAGGACCACAGTAGCGTATGCGGATGATATTATTATAGTATCGAGATCCCTAAGAGCAATGAAGGAAACATATAAAGAAATAAAGACCATAGCAGAAACAACTGGCTTAGAGGTGAATGTAAATAAAACTAAAATGTTGATACAATCCAGAAGGAATCCAAGGAAAACTGGAGAAATTGATATGGAAGGGGACGGGATAGAAATAGTTGAAGACTTCGTATATTTAGGATCAAAATTTCATAAAGATGGAGAGGAAAATCATGAAATAACAAGAAGAATAAAACTAGCAAATAATGCATATTTCTCGTTACTATCAGTTTTTACATCAAAGGATATGTATGCACAGAGCGATTAAAACAAAAATATATAAAACAATGATAAGACCGGTGCTTTATTACGGATGTGAGGGTTGGACGCTAAACAAGAAAGAGGAATCAGTCATCAATTCATTCGAGAGGAAAATCCTAAAATGAATTTATAGACCAATAAAAGAGAATGGGATATGGAAAATAAGATATAATAAAGAGTTATACAAATTACATAAGGAGCCAGAGATCTCAGTGATGATAAAGTTTAAAAGATTGCAATGGGCTGGGCATGTACAGAGAATGGATAAGGAGCGTATCCCAAAGAAAATATTATATAGTACAATAGGCTGCAGGAGACATGCTGGGAAACCAAGAACTAGATGGATTGATGCAGTGGAAGAAGATGCGAAGAAGTGAATGGGTGTAAGGAACTGGAAGAGATCAGCGTAGGGTGGAGAGGAATGGCGGGGCTTGGTAAGGGAGACCAAGGCCCGACATCGGACTGTTGCGGCATAGAAGAAGAAGAAGAAGAAGAAGAAGAAGTTCTCTATTTTCAATCCCTGGAGAATATTTATCATAAATATTTTCACAAAACCTTCTTTCCTTACTGGTCGGGAAGCGAGGGTAATCTTAAAGTACTGTAGGTGAAGAGATGCTACATTCTCTACCTGTCAATGTTTGTGTGTGCCTCATAACTAATATACTGGCTAAACACTATCATACTGAGGTAATAAACAGCCTACTTTCACATCATTTTGCACAATGTATAACTGTTAATATGTCTGTACCACAACAAACAAGATGTTACAAAGAGGTCAGGAATATATCAGAAGCCAATATAATAGGTGTATGTTCTTCAATACAAACTGAAACCTGGATTGAAGTGTCCAGGGAAAATGAGGTAGAAAAAATGGGACTCTTTTTTATGGCATTTTTAACTATTTTTTTAATATAGCCTGTCCCAAACTGAGGAGAAATACCATAAGTACATCAAAAAGCCCCCTGATAAAAAAGATGCTGTAACAGCAAGAACAAGACTAAAGGATTTGTACAATCTTCATATGCAAAGTAAGACTCAGGAACATAGACATCTATAAAGCATATAAAAAGGAATATAATGTAATATTAAAAAATGCAAAAGCAAACTACATTCAGAATGTTATAACACTCCAAAAATATTGTGGGAATTTGTTAATAGAGAAAGAGGCTTACCAAAAAATACTCTCACTAATAATATACACTTACAAGATGGAAATGAAATAGTCCCAAGTCCGAGCAGAACATGTAACATATTTAACAAAACCTTCATAGAAACTGTAAATGAACTTATACTTGACAAAAATTTATTACATCCACAAACTAGTAATAACAATATAAGCATAAAAGATTCACTTGTCATATTGGAAATAACAGAGACTGAATTGATTAAAGTAATTCAGGGCATGAAGAATAAAAAATCAGCAGGACTTGATGACATCTCACCATATCTGCTAAAAAAAAAGGTACACCTTACATAATAAAGCCACTCGTAGAATTGGTCAATGCATCAATCAGAGAAAGCATCTTCCCTTCTAAACTAAATATATCAGTAGTCAAACCAAACAAAAACGGGATAAAAGAAGATGCAAATAACTATCGTCCAGTTACTTTTGTACCTGCCCTTTCAAAAGTTCTGGAAACAGTAATAGCTAACCAATTCATAGCATTTTTAGAAAAACACAATTTATTTAATAAATCTCAGTTTGGATTTAGGAAAAATAGATCTACTAACGATGCAATTGCCACAATTATTGAAAACATAATAGAAAGTTTGAATGATAAAATAAAATGCAACTGTGTACTATTAGACTTATCAAAAGCCTTTGACTGTATTCAACATAACATTCTCATGGATAAATTATACAAATATGGAGTCCGTGGTATACCACATAAGCTAATCAAATCCTATCTCAGAAACAGAACTCAACACGTAAAAGTAACACACACAGAAGGCAATTGTATGAAAGAATATTTGTCAAGTAGCCTCCCAGTAGGATACGGAGTCCCCCAGGGATCGGTCCTTGGCCCATTACTCTTCATCTTTTATATAAACGATATCCCACATCTAACACAAGGCAGATTAATAATGTATGCTGATGACACATCAAGACTGAATGTAGGGCAAGATATGAATGAGCTCCAAAAGACGACTTCAGATAATACAGGAGTGGTAGAGCAATACTTTGAGACAAATAACTTATTTATAAATCCATCTAAAACTCACTATATTCTCTTCCAGACAAAACAATGCAGGCAGGAAAGTAATCTAAAAATCCTAATAAAGAACAGGGAAATATCAAATGTAAAAAGCACAAATTTCCTGGGGGTAGTAATAGATAGTACCTTGAGCTGGGAATTACACATTGAAAATACCTGCAGTAGAATTAGCCATAACTGTTCATAATTAACAGGCTATCTAAAATACTCAATTTAAATGAAAGAAGAACGTTGTATTACGGTTTGATCTATTTGTTGCAGTTGTTTGTATTTCTCTGTAATTGTTGTAGTTGTTAATCATATTTGGTTTGTATTCACTGTGGTAGGATGTCGTTGTTGTTGTATTTGTTACAGTTATTTGTCTTTCTATGTAATTGTTGTAGTTGTTAATCGTATTTGGTTTGTATTCACTGTGGTAGGATGTCCTTATTGTTGTGTTCTGTGTATTGTGTTTTGTTTGAACGTGCTGTCACTTAGTGTAATGTGTGTTACTTGTCTGTTGTGTCCTATTGTGTACTACTGCCACTGGGCTAAAACCCAATTGCAGTATAATAAATAATATATATATATATCCTCATCTATCTTATGGAATAATAGTATGGGGACATAGTGCTAAGACCCTCACTAGAAGAATTTTTATACTACAAAAAAGGGCAGTAAGATACATTGCAGGGCTAAAACATCTAGAATCGTGCAGGGATAGCTTTAGAAATCTAAAGATACTAACAGTATACTCGCTATACATACAAGAAACAATCCTATATGTAAAAAAAAGTGTAACTGCACAGTGAATGAACAAATACATACATATAACACAAGAAATAATAAAGACTATCATATATATGGGCACAACTTAGAACTTTATAATAGTAATCCTTCAGTAGCTGGCTGTATCCTTTACAACAAATTGCCTAACAACATATAAGAAATAGAAAACAAAAACCAGTTCATAAGGGAAATGAAGAAGTTACTTATTATGAGGTGCTATTACTCAATGGAGGACTATCTGAACGATGATTTCGCGAATATTGGCTACTGATATATGTATATTAGCTGAAAGACTTGTCCTGTATCATTGTATCATGATCTACAGGATTAATAAAAGAATGAATGAAATGAAAGAATACCAATTTGTCCATAATGTAATGTGGAATTCAAGGACAAAAAGGACATGGTAGGAAAGAGATCATGGTAACTTGCATAAGGATCCTACAATTTGCCTAGAAAGGTTACAAGACACTGTAAATTGGATCACTTTGAATTTCATCCCATACATATTCAGCTAATACACTGCTCAGTTCAGATTAAATATGGTATCAAGATTTCTTTCAATATTTGAAAGACAATGTCATAATTCTAAATTAACAATAAAACCATACCAGAGTGATGTTAGGATAACACACATGTTTCACAGTAGAACATTACCTAGCATTAATCAATGTTAACTGCACTACTCAACATGAAAATGCTATAATAAACTGTAATAAAAATAATATGTTCAATATCAAAAACTGTCTCCTATTACCCACCCTATCCTCCAGTTCCGTAGGGAAACGAGTCTGGAATTTTACTAAGGTTCCTTCACTATAATCTCGTTGCACAAACACTTTCAAACATTGATTACTGGGGTTGACTGCCCGTGCAGCAGCCATATCTTCCAGTGGAGTTGTACTCGTGTGGTTCTGGAATATAAATAAACACATGAAATTAGATTAAATTCAATACTCCATCTTTGACATTAAAAGTTTAGAATTCACACTTCTTGCTACAGCAATACCTTTACTACACCACCTAATTTTGACACAAAATGTGATTATTACTAGGACATTCAAAAGTGGTTAAAATGTATTTTTGACGTACCATAGGCATGGCCTTCTTTGCTTTCTTTCGACAAATTTTGACGCCTTTATTAGAGCTTGTTTATAAAAAGAAATATGGGCTAATTTCTCCACTACTGAGTCTATAGTTATTTAACAGACTGCAATATTTTCTTATACGAAACTGTCACCTGCAATAACACCAACCTCCTTCCGTAAAACACACACTACTGCCATCTTTCCGAACAGTTTACCTATTCTACGCCGAACATCGCTACGATCGCTACCGCCATAGATTATTTACGACATCGACTTCATAGTACCTAAACCCAGCACTGTAGCGCTCAGCCATATTTCCTATTGAATGTTACTTATCGGAAGTGCTAAAAATTACGTAAATTTAAATGGAATAATGAGTGAGTTTTAAGGCGCCTAACTACCAAGGGCTTATTTTCCTCTAGTCGAAACTGACGTCATGCTGAACTGCAGAACTTGTGCAAGGAAATACGTGTATGTCTCAACTATCGGCCTACTACCTTGTCACAGGGATTTGGACTACAAGTTGCAGGAATTAGATTAAAAGTTCTCCTACTGCATTTTATTTAACTGAACTTCATGGTAAAGGTGCTTAACTGTGCTTAACTAATTAAACGGTACGCCATAAAGTTGCATGGGGGTGTGGAAGCACATAAATATCCACGCATTCTTGACGTCGACACTAGTTGGAGGTTAGTGGTCAGCTTCACACAGCGGTAGCTTTAACCCCGGGGAAAGAGCCTTCGATACCCACTGAATAGAAGGTTGGGTAAGGAAATATTCATGTAATTCGCATACATTCAAGAACTTTAAAATTGGTTGATTTCGAATAAAGCAAACATTAGAACATTTCGGTACGTACTCAGAATTTATAAACTTTGAAAAACACGGGTTTTCTAATTTTACACAGTATTCCTATACATGGGGGGTCTAAACAAAAAATTAAGTGTTGGGTGGACGTGTAGAACTCTGAGCAGCTCTGAACAGCTACAACCGAGCACAAATTAACACAGCCCTAAGCACAACAGACCTACCCGACAAGCAACACAAGGCGAATGAAGTAGCAAGGTAGGTGAGTGTTGTATTCTCGTAAAAGTAAAAAGTAAATGTAAAGCTATCCCTGTAACAGGCCGTGAAGGCCTATAAGGTTGTGAGACGATGAGGGTCCCACATTATCTAGACAATCGGTCCAAAGATGGCGTTAAGGTTGTCAGCCTTACGACCTAGCCGCGCTTTACTCCCTAGGAAAATTATTTAATTAATTCCTGGTACTCATTTCTGTTAGATGCTGAGTCGACCCCAGGGCCAGAGTGCGGCTGGAAGGATGAGGTCAATTGAAAAAATCCAATGACCTCATTGGGACTTGAACCCGCGACCTTCAAGCTTGTAGCATAGCCCTTCAAATGTAATAAATTGCACAAAGAGAGAGAGTTTTGGAAATTCAATGCAAAATTAGGTTTAATTAAACACGAGGATTGTAATTTGTGGAAAATAAAAAACTCGCTAGTATTTAATACAAAAATTGTAAAGCTATCCCTGTAATAGGCCGTGGAGGCCAATAGGATTGTGAGACGTCGAGGCTCCCACATTTTGTCCAGACAATCGGCTCACATATGGCGGTGGCGATCACCTGGTTCGGTGATTCTGACATTAAATAGCGAATATTTTATTACAGTCCATTAACCTGTTGATTTTTATGATAAAGACGCTGTGTAGTTTCTGCAACGTGGGAGTAAATATTATTTAGATGAATATCATGATTCAAAATATTAAAAATCCACCTTTAAATTCGTGAGCATTATGTCATCAGATTCTAAAACATTGTCACATATCAGGGTTAGCGTGACTAATAATAACGGGTTGTGGATTTGATGACTGGGTTTATTGGCACTTCTTTAGAATTAAAACAAATTTTGACAGCTCCCAATCAATGAATATCTACGGCTCTCTCCATTCCTTACTGGACCAAGAGAGCCTTCTCTTCCAGCGAGACGAAGGACGAATGACTGCCCACACATTGAACTGCCTTGAACGACGTCTGTCTGACGAATGCTCTCGCTCCCAAGTCCAAGTCACATTGCGACTGACGGTCAGTCAGTCAGTAAGTCTTGGTGTCGAGCCCCAACTGGGGCTCATTGTCTGATATTTATTGCTGTCTGGCATTTACCGTCTTGTTTTTGTGGGGCGCCCTCTCTGACGAGAGGACGGATATGCCTTTTGTACGTATATGCTTGCTCTCGCTCAAGTCAAAGTCAAAGTCACATTGAGACTGACGGCCAGTCAATCAGTAAGTCTTGGTGCCGAGCACCCTCCTGGGGCTCATGACCAGATATTTATTACTGTTTGACAGTTACGGTCTTGTTTCTGTGGGCGCCCTCTCTGACGAGAGGACGGGTCTGTCTTTTGTATATGCTCCTGGTTCTTGCCAGCGCAGTATTTCTCGGGTCCGAGTCCCTTGGTATTCGAGACCATATATTACTGTCTCAAATTTGAGACTTCCCTTTTCGTCGCCTCCTACGACTCGCAGGGTCACGGTGGAGGTATTCGACCCCCGCCTCCACACGGGTTGGACTGCTCTCGCTCCTGTCTGCAAGGCTCCTTATATAGGCTAGCTCGTAACAATGGAAGCAACCGAGGTCATATTGTTGACTGCGTTACCACGAGAATGTGTTTACCGATGCGTTGCCTAGTAAATGATCACATCACGTCAAGACATTTAAAGAAGGGCGTTTTATTATAACATATTACACACTGAGATGATTATCTTAAGTTGGTTATTTAACGACGCTTTCAGTATGGAGACTGTAAGGCTGGGGCCACACGAACGCACGAAGTACGTCCGTTGCAACGAATGTACTTTATGACGACCGTTGCTGAGGACACAACACAGTTGCAGAATGCGGTGCGTAGTTTCTTGTCTGCAATGGAACCAAAGAAAGCGTAGCATTCGTCTGCCTTGTTTCCTTCTACAACGGACGTCATGACGTTCGTTACAACGGACGCATTTTGTGCGCTCGTGTGGCCCCAGCCTAAGAGACCTTGATGATAGAATAACGAATATGAACAGGTGGTTGAATGTCAATTCCTTGAAATGAGTATGAAATCAGTGTGTAATTTACTGTATAAACACTGCATACCGTGTTCACAAGACCCTTCCACTGGTCCCTATCCAGAGCCAGTTCGATCCATTCCATATCACACCATCCTATCTCTCTAAGATCCGTTTTAATATTATCGATTGGTCTTCCTAGTGGCCTTTCTTCTGGGTTTGCCACCAATATCCTATATGAATTCCTCTGTTCCCCCATTCGTGTTACATGCCCTGGTCACCTCATCCTCCTTGACTTGATCATTCTAATTATACTCGGCGAAGAGAACAAGTTATGAAGCTCCTCATTGTGCGGTTTTCTCTCGCCTGTTGTTTAGGGAAATTATCGAATACACGTTCTAGTTCCTCGTAGAAGCTGTCCTTCGTGTCAATACGAGCTTCTCTTGGGGTATGAACATTCATAACAATGATATGGCACCAGTGACCTCTTAGTACAACATCATATCACTAACAAACTGTACGCTCTTAACTGCTGACACGATTCTCTTGCGNTCCAAAAAAAAAAAAAAAAAAAAAAACCTTTACCTAATTCATGATTCGCATTCCCCTTCCATAGAAAATGTATCTTCCCCTGCTGGATCGGTGCCACATCTATAAATTACTAAAACCTCCATTTAATTAAGGATCGGGAAAACGACAAACTTATATCCCAATATAGGTCTTGCGACGAATTTTAAATAATTAAACGTGGACACAATCACACTTATAGGGAAATCCTGTTAACTTTGCCCTACTATGTTCAAATCCGCTTTGATTTTTAGGCTTTATTTACTCATATTTATCAAAACACGAAATTATATTAGCTATCAATACATGTCGCATTTCGAAACATGCCGTATTTGATTTCACTTCTAATTTACTAATGGACTTTTCTTGTAAATAGAGTGCATTCCTATGCATCTGAAGGCAAAGCACGGCGCAGCGAAACACAGCCGGAATAAACCCCTCTCTACAACTAAAGAATATTTTCTGAAGAAAAAGCATACGTGCATGTATAAATAAATTTCATTAATTTAATTAATACAGAGTCTTGATAGTGGACAAGATCGTGAGAAACAAATGAATGCATGATGGCTTACCTACCTACAAGTAACTTAGTGAAGGATGAGAATGGTGATCGGCTTGCAGATTCCCACAACAGTTTGAATAGGTGGAGGTACTACTACTACTATCAGTTGCTGAATGTGCATAGGATCAGTGTTGTTAGGCAGACAGAAATCCATACAGCTGAGCCGTTAGTACCTGATCCTAGCCGTCTTGAGGCTGAACTTGCCATCGCAAAGTTGAAAACACATAAATAGCCAGATAATGATCAAGTTCCGGCAGAACTTATTCAAGCAGGAGGTAAAATATTACGTCCTAAGATTCATAAGCTAATTAATTCTATTTGGAATAAGGAAAAAATTCACTGATCAGTGGAAGGAGTCTATTATTGTACCAGTTCACAAGAAGGGTGATAAAACTGACTCTAGTAATTATTGTGGGATACCACTGCTATCAACTTCACAAGATACGGAGTGAAAATAGTGTACTTGTATCTGGCCAGTTCATCAAGTATTTATTTATGCGTATCTAATTGGCAGTTATCATTGTAGGAAACATTGCAACACGCAATAAATATTGCCGCGTGTTTGCTAGGCAACACGACAAGAAATTGTGTGGGTTCTCGGATTTGAACGAATGCCTTTATTGGACAGTCACTTTACACTCACACTGACAG